ATTTCCTAAGAAAGATGCAATCACCAGACTTAAAATTTATTACCATGTTTGTAACTCCAACTTTAGACTGTTGAATGCTATGTCCTCAATGAATTGAAGCACAATATTTGACAGCACAATAGTAACTTCCTTCAGGCAACTACATCACACATAGGTACCTTCAAGCATGGCTTGAGAACTGCAGAGTGTGTCCTAAAATTTTATGATGCAGTGATGCCTCAGTAAACAACATGCTTATGCCTTTCAGCCACTTGCTGATCCAAAATGACATGTGCATGCATCGCTCCTGCAAAAGATTATGCTGGCTTAAACAGGCACTGTTACAAACAGCAAATGACTCTTAAATTTAAAGAAAAATATATTCTACATTGTGTATTCTACTATTCAAGTTATACTAGTATACTACCAGGAAAAAAAACCCACCTCCTAAAATAGTTTTGTACACAGCTTTGAAGGCAGTTCTGCAGGTATAGTAAGATCATAATCAAAACTGATTTGTTCTATGATTACAGAAAAGCCAATCCATTTCATATAAAGTAGAAAGCTACTGAATATTATGATACTTCCAGCCATCACCCTGATTTATTAAGTGCACATTCTGAAAACAGCTGTTCGTAAGTAAGTTCTGCAGGGATATGGCTTGCCATGTGGTTGGTGCTGCTTGGTTTCCTGCTGCCAAAATGCAATTAGACATCTCAAATACATCTGACACTCTTTCAATGCCATTCTAAGATGTAATTGCTTCTGTTACCAGAGGATGGGATGAACCTTGGCATCACTGAAATCAGCAGAAGACTTCACTGGGTCAAGATATCATGCAGTTGTGAACAGGTATTTAAATTACAACTGGCTTTCTTCAAAGTAGTAGCTGATTCCATAGCGTTCTGTGATGTTCTTTCCACAGCAAATTGTAGCAAACAGTTTCAAAATAATTCCACTTTAAGAATAAAGAAACTACAAAAAATTAATCAGTCTTCGTTTTATTAAAACAAGATTTGTTCTGCTGAAGGAATGAATAAATTTATAACTGCAAAACATAAACAAAGAACAAAACCTTTACTTCTGGGCATGCTCAGACCTGTGCTACTACAAAGTTTTCAAAAAAAGATGATGGGGAATGCTGCAACTTATAGCAGATAAATCATCAAAGACACAAATTCTGGGATTTTAATTGCATTAGTAACTGAGATACACTTATCTGTCCCCAAAACATCAACAGCTGAAACACTGTTCTATTTCCCAAATAAGTATGAATTCAGATTACTCCATTGTCAGGGAATTACCCCAGGGAAAAGAGAAAAGACAACAGCTAAAGAGATCACAAATCATCATACACTCCTGTTTCACACTATTCAGCAAAGTAAGCAGGCTCCCAAGCACAGGAGCACACATACCAGCTTGCCCTCTACACTACAGATCACTACACCAGCCACTCCTGTTACCTGTCACTGATTTACTTCTGAACAGGATATCCTATCCTGCAATACACAACGTAAAAAAAAATAAAATAAAATCCAAATACAGGACTGAGGAGAAACATGGAAACAATATACATATGAAATTAAATGAGCTGCAAATACAAAGAAAGAACAATGGCACCAGACAAGTTTGTAATATCACTATATTCTTACAAATTCACATTGCGTCAAATGACCACAGACAGAAAAGACAGAGAAGCAGATTAAAAAAATTACAGCATCAAGCTAGAGTATTGCCAAATACATTATCCATTACGAGAACTTTAAAATCACACACATGTATTCTCATTTGGGCAGAAATTCAGCAGGAAACTTAAAATGCAACTTCGGATTAAGTCATAGTTTCATTATACATAAAACTAAATACCTCATTTTATCAGAGTCCAGAGAAAAGCACTCTCATACAATTACAAGAACACTGGATGCAAATTTACCAGAAAGAACTAGAAAGCAAAGAATTCTACTAGAAAATAAACTGAAGAACTGCTAGATCTAAGTGTCAGAATAGCAAGTCCTCAAAACATTAGATGTCTTATGCTTGGTTAACACTTAGCACACTATGAGTCTGGGTCACACTTACGGTTCTCAATAAAAGTGAATAGTAAACCCCAAGCTGTTTAGAATGAGATTGTGTTAAATGGCTCAGTGAGTACCAGGGGGTGTGGTGGGGGGTGTGTGTGTAACACCTTTATAAAATTATGAAATATATTACAAAACCATAATTATGAACATCCAGAAGGTCAACATTACATATGCGTAGAAGAAATAACATTTTCCTCAACTGTTATAAAATAACCTTTATCTAATTGCTGCTAATTAGATTAAAAAAGCATGAATTTATTCCTCTTTAATCAGGTTACCTTTTCTTGCTTCAACATTAAGACACACAAACACAGTGACAAACATCTTTGTCCAGTGTTAGAACCAAAAAAACCAAAACTACCCCCCAACCAATCCTCCCATCAGTTTCACTGAGAAAGCATTTCAGCTCGCAAGGTTTCCATGTAGTGTAGCCTTCACCATCGTGTTTCAAAGTTTCAGCCATGCTGCTAATCAATGTGCTATTCAATAATGACAACAGAACCTGTATTATTTATCTAACTGGAAAAGTGTTTGACTAATTCCTTAAGATCCCAGAAAGCTTCTCTTTCCTCTTTCATGCACACGGTATTTTGAGTATCTCCACATTTTTTTATGCTTTCATTCCAAGGTAGTTTCTGCATTTACTTCTCATATCACAACATCCCCAGCTTGGATCATAGTAGTCATTGAGCACAGGGAATAGGTTTCTGAACAGTCAAAAGTGAGGCATTCAAGCTTAGAGCAAATCTTATTTTGACACTGGCAACCACAGAAAAGTTTCCAGATTTGTATCCCGAGTCTTATTCTTCTAAAAAAATTGTTACATTTAATACTTGCTGGTTTGTTTTTTGGTTTTTTGGTTTTTTGTTTTTTAAGGAAAATATACAGCTTCTTACACTTTTATTTAAATAGAATTCATTTTTCTTTTAAAAAACCTACCCTGAAAAGGGGCTCTATTATTAAAATTAATAATAATAAAAAAGACATTACAAGTTAGAAATATTAATCATTCTATAGGCCTCAAGATAGTTTTATTACTCAGGGTTTCAAGGAAAAGTTGTGTGCTGGAGAAACATGCTTGCAATGAATGAATACGGAGAACAGTATTTTTGGCTGTAAACAAATATGCACTAGTGATCTTAAAAGTACAGTGTGCATTAAACCTTATTTACACACAAAACAATTCATCCTCTTCATGTGTACAATACTGTGAAAAGCAAGATGAAAGAAGCTAGATAGGAAAACATTCTTGTATCATAAAAATATGTTAGATGGGACTTATCCATAGGGTTAATTTAAAGCTTTGCTTTAAAACAAACTTTATTTAAAAATCTTCTTTTGCTTTATCTAAAAATCAACCTTTCTATAAAAACCATTCCTTTAAAACTTTGCTTTAAAAAATTAGCTTTATATTAGACAAAATATTAAATTATACAGGCACAATCAGTTATGAGGGCTATGAGAACTCATATTATAACCCTTCATTTTCAAGTGACTTGCAATACAGTCATAAAATTCTGTGTCTACTGACAACCAGAGGAAAATTCATTCATAGAAATCAGCTTTTATTTAAAAAATAAATTAAAAAAAGAAATAAAAATCTGTTAAATCATTCTTGATCTGTAAAGGAGCTTAGCATCCAGCTGGCTTCACTACATGCACATCTTTTATTTATGCTGGGAAATATACACATACATTAAAAAAAATAAAAATCCCTAAACCAATTTTTGAACAAGTGGTTTATGATGACAGCTTTTATATTTCCTTCAAATAGTGTATCTTGAGATATAGTATTTCAGAGTCCACCTTTATCTCAATACAAACCAGTGAGCCTTGGCACTTCAGAGAATGAATCAGGGAAAATGCACAGATACTGTGTTCAATGGCAAAGAGAGAAGGGTCTGGTATTTTCTATAATTTTCTTGTGTTATTAAAGATGTATTGCACAACTACAGAATTTACAAAGACCTTTAAAGTAAGAGAGATAATATAACAAATTGCAGATTTACAAACCAGAGCCCTGACTGTGATTACATTTAACTATATGCTTAATACAAAGGAACAATTAAGCTTGGATTTTAATGCATAGAACCACCTGCAAGACTGGGGGTTTTGTTTCCTGAACACATTAAATAAGCTGTCATCATAATAACAAAAAAAAAATACAAAAACAAACATAACCCTCAAAACAAAACACAAAAAAAAACCTCACAACCAACCAAAACCAACAAAAAACCCAAAACCTAAAACAAAACACTATGGTCTTTTTTTCCCCATAAAATCACAGTAGTTACAGCATTGGTGGCCAAACATGAATCACTGTGGAATAAGATTTTAATTCAACTAAATATTTTAAACAGATTATTCAGTATCTGTTAAACAAATATTTGAACTCCAATACATTTAACTGGATGATGCTTTAGATTTATTTAAATATTTTACTGAAAGTTTTGACTACAGTAATAAATATATAACAAATGGTACACCAAATTAAAGTTTAAAAAGCACAGAAACTAAAATTTAAGGGTGACATTCTCGAGCCACTCACTGCTATTTGTTTGCACTATAACTTTTCCATCTGTCCCCCCATTAAGGAATGTGAAATTCACCTACAAAATTGATCGATAAGCTATTAAGAAACACACCAAAACCCAAACAAATAAATAAATAAAATATAATAATAATAATAATAATAAAAAAAAAAATCCACCAGACCCTAACCCTGTATTTCTTTTGGAATTTGAGATTTCACTTTAGCCACCACCACTTGATTTGAACAGTGCCCTAGAGAGAAATACTTCCTTACCAGCATGGTTTGTTATTGCTTGACAAGAACCCACAGTGACTTTTTGTCTAAAATAACTGCTTTGGACATGGTTTCAGGAAAAAAGTCAATATAAAAACATGTACAATTATACTTCATTTCAAGAAAGCACTGAATTGATCTGAACTGTATCATACTGTATTAATTTTAATGCCACTCCATAGGCAAATATATATTATGTGTTGAAGGTGTGTATTTACACAAATACATACACAAAATTCAGTCCAAATTAATGTATCTCCATTTTAACTTCTAGTGTAACAATCTAGTCATTTTTTGCACTTTAGAATTCCATGGAAAAATGAGAATAGGCACAATTAATACAGCTTCTAATTTACCGTATTACAGTGCCCTGGTAATACCATAAAAACAATATGATACTATTCAAGCTCATTTTCTGATGAACAGGTAAAGTCTAGTCATGAGGGTTCTAAATGCTTTTTAACTCAAACACACACCTTCTGCAGCTTTACACAATAGAACAGTGCAATACATTATGTCCCCGTATTCTAGGGACAAGAGCTGAGTTTACAGCTGTACCTGTTTCACAACAGACTGGCTTTGCACTTTCTGTAGCTCTAGCACTTCAACTGCTTCATCTATGATCTCCTTCTGTTCCATTTCCTTTTCTTCAATCTTTTTCCAGGTGCTGGTTATAGAAAAAACCCTCGATTATTTTGGTAGCTAGCTCTCACCTGGAGGAACAAGACAGTTTCGAAGTAATGGTACAGCAGAAGTTCTTCTAGAGGGTCGGTTCACAGTGCTAGGGTGACCCTGATCTCCACTTACTTCCCAGTTCCTGGCTTTGGAAGAAGCCTGCTCTGGCTCCTTAGGAAAAGATTCCGACATGACTTTCTGCCTCTTTTCAGGAATCCCTGTGACAGCTGTTGAGCTCAGAAAAGTCCTTTTTGGTTTCCTCCTCACTTTTAATTTTTTAGCATCAGGCTTTTCTTTCTTAGGGTGCTTTCCCACTGTAGTTTTTCTTGTCTGGCACCTATGGATGGACAAAGCAGATTTTTGGGCATGAGGATGAAGTTTCCTTCTCATCCCCTCTTTTTGCTGATTTTTAGGTCTGGAAGTTTGTTTGCCTGCCACTACTCTGTTTCCTCTCCTACCAACAGTACATCTGACAGACTTCGGTCCCGCAGCCTTTCTGGAAAAAACTGGTTCTTTGTTAGTGCCTTCTTTTCTCTTCCATATTGCCTTTGGACTCTCCCTCTCCAACCGCTCACTCCTGATGGAGGTCAGAGGAGTTCTGGTAACTCTACTGTTAAATGGAGTTAATCTAACATCTCCTTCTACTGCAGGCTGGCCGGAGTTCAAAGGTGAAATGATCAGGTGTTTAAAAGAGTTCTCAGAGTGACCAGATACCAGATAATCTGTTCTTTCTGTGGAAACAGAAGATCCATCAGCCTTTTGACTTGAGGCTGCATCATTCCCTTTACCTGGATCTGGCAGGAAAGATGTTGAAGATGAACCGTGCAAGTCTGACCAATTGAGTGACTTTGATGGCATGCCTTCTCTCTGTGCATCAACTAGTTTCCTGTTTGCATCAAAGCTAAGACTCTTGAAAAGCTGTCGAACGTGAGAGGGCTTTTTGGCCTTTTCTCCAGCTGGACTCTTCGGAGGCATCTTCAGAATTCGATTTGTTAGTGGGTCGTAATACTTGAAAGAACACTGTTTGTATTTATACCTTACGGACTCTTTGCTATCTGTGGAGTTATGATTTTTCCTCATTTTCGGAATATCCATAGGTTTACTTTTACACTGTTTTATCTCTGGGCACGAAAGTACATACACCACTGTCTTAGGCTGTACAGGACTCATAATCTTGCTATAGGACTCAGGAAGTTTAAGAGCACATAGCCTAGTTTTCATGTTGGGAGTTTTTTCATTCTCTGGCCACATAATGCTTGCTTTCTGATCAGCTGGATCAGATTCCCTTCTAGACACCTTTCTTTTTGCTACAGGGTAGTTCAATAGACTTGTTTGGGTGCCATGACTGACTTTGACCACCTGGCACCTTGAAGCCAGGCGCCATGTCCTTTTCCTAGGCATTTTAAGCATCTGTGCATTGCATAGTCTATCTGAGGCTACAGATGGGATATGAAAATCAGAGCCATCACTTAGAGCATTGTTAAATTCTGGCAATGCTTTAAATGATGCACTATCTCTTCTATTACTCTCAACAATATTGTTACTTTTTTCATCCTTCTGCCTTTTTTTCTTCATTCTCTTCCCTGTACAGTTGGCTGAGGATTCACTATCAAAGTAGCAGCGAAAACGACCTTCCCTGAAATCACGCACAAGTTCTTCAATTTTTATATCATCTTCATACATTATTTGAGACCAGGTCTTTCCCACAAAAGAAGGAGGCACATGAGGCAGAGCTGGAAGGACAGGCTCTTCTGTATGAACTACAACATCCTGTTTTACTGCTTCTACTTTCTCTATCGACTCACTTTTTAAAACAGAAGAGAGCTGTGTTCCATAGTCTTTATCTTGCAAACTTATTTGGACCTCTTTTAGGGTTTCTATATTTTTTATAGCTGCCTTGGGTAAGTCTGTTCCTGCCTGAATAGGTGCATCACAGTCAAAACTCATTTCAGAGCCCTCTAAATGAGTACGGTCCAGAAATGATATAAAAGTTGAACAGGGATTCTTCTCTTCTTTGAAATAAACTTCTTTAGATGTACTTCTGCCATGACAGTATTTCAAAATAACACCTTCAATAGTTTCGTCCACTGAACTTTCACCACCTCTGTTCGTCTTCAGTTTTTTGCATCTTGCTAGTTGTGGGGATGTCCCAGGACCTAAGGAGCTACTAATACCCACAGTATCCCTGAGATGGAAATCAGACACAAAAGTTTCATCCTGAGTTCGTAAACCATCTCGTTTTGAGAGTGATTGACCTGAGGTAATACATAAAGGATTGCTGCTGCTGCACAGAGTATTTCGATGAGAAACGGAAGGGCGTTTTGGGTGAACTAGTGCTGGACCAGGATTCAAGCATGGCTTCAGTAACACATCACTATTGTGTACCTCCATTCCCGTTTTACCACATCCACTCTGTGAAATCAGATTTGATGCTGCTGCCAAATTCCTAACATTTTTTCCTGTTTTAGGATTAACAGAAGAACCGTGGATTAAAGGACTGACAGAAAATCGCTGAGATACAGGACTCACAGCTGTAAACTGACCTTCACGGCTACAGTTTGCAATCTGAGCATCTTTCAGGGTGTCCCGTTTCTCATTGCTACAAATGCCCACAGAGTGCTTGGATATTCTTATAGCATGTTGCTGCCCTCTTTCTAGTTTTTCAACAAATGCTTGTGTCGCAGATGTTTTCTTTGTACCCTTACGAGACAGGCATGGAACAGAAGATCGTATTTCACCAGTAGACTCCTGGGCTTTGCTGGAAATCTCCTGTCTCTCTCTGTTCCTCTTTCTGTCCATCTCTTCCAGGGACAGGCAAGCAGTCCTAGCAGGCTCTGGAGTGACGGGGAGTGGCATGTCGTCATAGCTTGGTCTAAAGGGGAGGGGAAGAAGCACCTTATATAAATACTTTAAATACGGTTAAGGTTTTTCAAACAGTAGTGTGTTGGGTTTGGGTTCTTTTAAGAGTAATTACCTAGAATGCATCACCTAATGAACAAACACATTACCACCTCTGCTTACTTTAGCAGAGACAGCCCATCTGTAAAAAGGGCAGAGGGCTAGGGGACAACACTCCACAAAGCTAAAGATGACAATTAGTTGGTTACCCTCTTCATGCAACCACCCATTAAGAACAGGCAAACACATTACAATCATTTTATAAATACAGAAAAGAAATAAAAAGTAAAGATATTTCTTTTGTTTGAAGTTGGGAGCTTATAAAGAGGTTATTTCACTGGTAAAGCTATCAATTAATACTGAGCTTTTGTAGAGAAACACAACATTACAATATGGCACAGTACAAGAATACTATAGAGTATAGATGTTCTTTTCTCTATGAAAGGCGGCTGCATGACAGGAACACTGCACATATTGCCAGGGAATTCCATGCTCACTATTTCACACAGACATACCACAGCTTCTGACTCCCTTTTGAGAAGCCAAGTTATGACTGTTCAGCCTCACAGTGACAACAGCAGATTTTTATATACTCTGTAACTGGCTGCTCTATCTTTATGACTGCCTCAAATACAAGTGTTTATGTCTTGCAGAACTAACAGAAATGAGAGATATGGACTCTTCTGCAACATAGGAACCCACAAGGCTTCAATGTGTAACAGCTGGGCAAATCTAATGAACATAGTTGTGGTGCTTGCTTTAATACATGGCAGACATCCATGCACCTCTTATGGTGAATTCATCTGCTAAAAGTATTGTGAATAGATTTTATTGTACAGTAACTTCCTTGGTTATAAATGTTCAGCTTTCACATTTATTTAAAGTTAAAAAAAAAATAAAAATCAGGAGCCAACAGAATTAGAATGCTTAATAGTCAACATCTGCAGAAGTCCTTGAAAGACTTGGACATCAGTTGTTGTTAAAGACAGCTGATACCAAGCAACCTTGCAGCAAGTATTTCTACGTAGCTCCTTAACACTGAAAAACAATTACAGAAGAACTTAGCTGAATATAGCTATGCTTCAGCCTTTTACTGAGAGATGACAGATAAAGAAGAATTGTCAGCTTGGAAGAGCTACTTTACAGTTGACAAAATGATAGGTTTTGCCAGTGTTTAAAAAATAAAATTTAAACCTGATATTTGAACTCTATGAGTTAACAAGATTTAGTCTAGAAAAGTATACTTCATAGAATCACCACCAAACCAAAATTTCTGCCTCCCCCTGCCCCCTTATATTTCAAAGCACCAACTTCAAACCTCAGGATAGAGCTTAGTGGTAGGAAAAGGTTTCAGTGACTGAGCTCATGATCCACCATTAGATTTTGTTCTCTCCCTCTCTGAGCCAATAACAATTAAGAAAACAGTTTTCCAGCCAGCTACATATTCATTTCATCATCATTCAATAATAAACCAAATTTTCCTTAGCTTGCTTATAAACCTCATAAAAGAACATGCCAAAAGCTGGGCTTCTGAGAGATGTCATGATAGATGTGACATGAGAGATGATAGATACACAATTCTACTCTCTATATAATGTCCATTATCCTGCCAGAGGAGGAATTTAGGATGACCTGATGCGATTTTTCTTGACGAAAGAAGCAGTGACCATTACTCATCATTTCATTGTCCTCTAGGTTATTAGGAACAGTTTGGATATTCAGTTCTCATGGAAACACTATAATTTAAGCAAAGAAGTCTGTAGGCAGATCCTCTTCTCTGCCCTCAATGATAATCGACAATTGCTACATTTGTTTTTTTCCCAGTCCTTCTGAAACATCACATATTCTCTGCGGCCTCTGAAAATAATTACTATCAGCTCCCAGAATGCTTCAGAGAGTACTAAGTATCATGTGCTCAAATCCCTGTTTACTGAGGTCATTTGAGGAGAACTACAGAGCCACTAACAGTCATAAACAAAGCAACTTTTTAATGCAAAACAATGTGGAAATGAAAGTTATCAGAAGACCAAGAGCTACAAAGGTCTTGCCCACAAGACAGGGCCTGAAGCACTGTCCATCAAACAAACAAACAGGCCTTCTAAGGAAACAGTCTCCTCAACTCATTGCAACACATAATGCAGGGGGGTGGGATATGGGATGTGGGAAATCACACCGGCTACATAAAAAGCGATATGTAAGAAGTAGGGATGCACTTTGCATAACCCTACCAAACCACACTGATTCACCAGCAGCAGTATAAAACCCCCCTCCCTGAAAAAAATATAATAAAACTTTATAACAAAACTTGCAATATTCCTTGTGTACTCCAAAAGTAGCAATTTTCTCAAAGGTGTATCACCTTTTAGAATACAGTGGAATTCTGGTTATCTAAGTAAACAGGACTGAATTTATCAGAGTACTGATAAGGGTTATAGGACTGAATAAGCAAAAAGAAAAACCTCATATAATGAAACGTCAACAACAACAAAAAAAAAAAACAAACCAAAACAAACAAACCCAAGATTGTTTCTATTATCAAATGACCAAACAATGCCTATCAGCTGAACTTCTGTGGCCCACTGCTGCATGCATTCTTGTCCACCTAAGATGTGAGATAAAGTCCCTTTATTCAAATCAGAATTAGACTGAAAGGCTAAAGGCAGTAGAAATAATCCTTTAACTTTCTCATTTCAGAGTTCTTCTACCTTTGTGATAAACACACGGCATGTGGATACTGCTGGAAGATTGAATATAGGACTAAATGGATTTTGGTATGGATAAACTGCATCAAATTCCTAGGCTTCTAGCTTGCTTAGCAGTCTGTATTCGATTTTCAAAAATTCCTTACAAACAAATGTCTCTGAGATGGAGGTAATGTAAGCTAAAATGCTGAGCTGTAAATTGGGACTGCTCTGTTGAGAACAAGACTGGCCCTGGGGTATGTATAAAACAAGGGTAGCCTTTGAAGATAAGGAAGGAGTAATGATGCGGCAGAATAGCTCCCCCCTCCATAGTCAACCTAGGGTGAAGATAATAAAGGAACAACTAAGACAGATGAGGCCAGTTCTTCAAGATAAGGAACAAACCAGAACAAACTGACCTAAAACATGGACACAATTGTTAAGTAATTCACAGGAGTCTTTTCCACATGTGCAATCACAGAGGTCCATCAGCAAACACAGTGAGGAAGACTATCGGGATAGGCTGAGGGGTCTGAGACCCCTCAAGACCACCACTCAGCAAGAAAGCATGTGCGTAATTAAAATGCAAATATTAATTAGTTAGTTTTTAATTAGTTAGTTCCACGAAATGTAATGAATATGTAAAACATCTCCTAGAAAGTTTGTAAATATACACATAAGTTTGTTGTATATACAGATGCTGCTTGTAGACTCCCGGTGCGCTCACCTTTGAGAAATGATTCACATGTGCACCCAGCAGTGCAACAAAGAATGCTTTCTAGAACTCCAAATCAAGTCTTAAAGAGTTCCTTTGACTGTCTTTTGTGGTAACAGAACTACAGTTCTATACATTTACAATCTTCTGGCAGTTCTGTTACAAAGTACCCCCAAAAGCAGAGTGAAGATTTCCTCTCTTAAATGCTCAGTATTTCTTTATATAAAAACTTCTACACCAAGAGTTTGGAGGAAGGAATGATTTCTTGATTTGTGTGGGTTCTTTGGTTTTTGTTTGGTTTTGGTTGATTTTTTCTGGTGGGGAGGAAAGGCAAAACACCAATATCCTCTGAAATTCAGTATAAGGCAAAGCTCTGGTCAATATTTATTTTCTCCACATCACTACTAGGTTCTGCAAAACAAATCAAGACTCTCAAATATTTCTATAATCCTTTTAAATTAAGGTTAAGATACCTTTTGTGAATTCAGCTGAAAAATAAAAACAGGTATTTAAGAACTGAATGAAAGTATGTATCAATCCAAGTGGTTTTATGTATGAACAAAGACAACCCAGTTCTTACTTCAGATGTCAGTTAAGAATGTGGGGGCTTTTGCTTGCTTCAAAGCAGGCCTGCAACATAAATCTATTCACACTTTCTTTTCCATCTTTGCTTTCTTCTTCCTCCAATCTCTGTCTCTGGGATTACTCCTCCCCTTTCTCCCCCCTACTTCATCTAGATTTTGTACGTAATTTTTCTCATTCCAGTCCTTCTTTCAACAACTTAAGAGGAACATGCGTAGCTTGTTGCTCCTAGTTACTAAGTTTTGTTCACCAAAGAAATAAACTTCTGTCAGTGACACAGCAAGACAGGACTTTTTTTCATTAGGTGTTACCTTAAAGTGAATACTATATTTTCTCCATGGCAAAAAAATATGCATGCTCTTACACTAGCAGGATTTAATTTATTTATTTAAGATGGAAGCTTATTAGCAGTGATGTGTACATGTCCTGGGCTAACTTGTCATAGACACGTCTATTTTCTTGTTCTGTCACATCCCTGGTAATATCAATATGACTGCCTCCAGACAAAATACCCTTATACTTGTTTGTCAGATCTATAGCAGAGTTATATATCAAGATACACTGTACTGGGTCAGACTGGGATTTTTGTCTGCCTTGCAGAACATAATAAACAAGGAATGAGATTTAATTGATTTCCCTTCTTCTACAGGGAAAAAACACACCAACCCTCTCATGATAAATAAAGAGAACACTTTTGAAAATCTGAGCATTAATGAATTGGCCAATTAATGTAATCCATGTAAGTATTAAACGAATGCGTGAACTGCAAGGATCATGAAGAAATAAGCATAGAAATATTCGCCTGATTATCCAAAAGCAAGAAACCAGAAATATGAACTCTTTCAAAACATACCATAAAATACACTGCTATATATAAAGCTCAGAATTATAATAATACATGTATACAAAGCCCAAATTACAAGAATCCATAAACACATGTCAGACTGGACAGTCTGCCATTATACCCATGACCCATATGTTGCTTCTTTTTTCCACACAGTTAGTTGCCATCAATAGCGTTGTACCAAATCCTTAAGTAGTGAAACAAAGCTTAAAAGTACAGAGACAACACAAAAGCAGTACACATGGATATCGCTTCTGTAGATACACTCCTTTCAAAATTTTCTTCAGTGTGAAAGCTTCACCTCAAATGGCCCAATTTACTGCTCAGCAGTGGAACAGAACTAATAATGCACGCATTCTACCAACACATACTTGAAAACATTAAAAAAAGCCAGCCATATTATACCTGTTGTCATGGTATCTGTGTGGATGATGCTGCAAAACATCTTGCAAGAAACGTTCCATCAAGCTACTGGCACCCATACGATTCCTGCAGTAAGTGGTAAAATGTCTGTGCTGGGAGCTGAAAACATGCTGATGAAAGATAAAAGAGACAACTAGTTCAATATTACTGTTAACACACTGGCCTGTTCCAAAAAGTTACTTTCCAAATTAAACATTACACTGTTGCTATGAAAATACTTAAACAAAAAGAAAAACTTTCAGCCTTTTCTTTTTTAAGAAACCTTGACCCAACGAGGTTTTTAAACATGCTTAGAAAGTCTCAATACTAAAATGTGCTGAAACATCTTTTCTGAGTTGGAACATATCTAACATATTAATTCTAATACAATATATAGAGATCTCAAGATTAAAGCTACAGAAATAAACCCACTGGATGCAACGCACAGCAGTGTGCCACTTCAGAAAGCAGACTGCAGTAGCCATGCCACTCCATCAGTATCTTTTTAACAGGTAATAGATAAGGGGGGGGTATCATCTTCTTGGTGTATACACTGTGTGATACTGAATGAAAACTAATCAGTTTATGTATTGGTTGTTCGGTGTAAAGATTGATATTTTATAAGATGATAAAGCCTTCTCATACTCTTTGCTATCTGTTGCTGAATTATACAGAAGCCTTCTTACCTGTTCCAGGTTACTGTAGTGTACATGGCAACAGTTGCAGTATCCTTGTCTATTTTGCACAGTAGATACTCCAGGCCAAGAATGGTCTTGCCGTCTTGTGTGTAAACTGAAAGAAGCAGGTAATATTACCAAGACATGTTGGGATGCCTAATTCATGTTCTTAACTTGAAAATTCTACCCAGCTATCTTACTACAGAGCTGGAACAAATTTGCAAGATCAATGCTTTTATTTCAGAGTTTTAATGGCAAGTAGGACTACATATTTTAAGGTATTCCCAAGCAAATTTCACTAAGAAAATTTTTACTTCAGTGCAGAACAAAGGGTAACAGGTTGAATGCGCAGCTAACACAAATGCTAATTTCAGTTGGCTGAAATTTGAAGAGAACTGTCTCGTCAGAAAAAGGCAGTCATTTTTCAATTCTTCTGGGATTTTATTATTAAAAAAAAAAAAAGGCTAAAGATAAAGAAATCTTGACACCCACACATTAGTTTTGGGCACTACAATGCACCTTCCCCACAGTTTTTAATAGTACGTGGGTACAGATAAAAAGGACGTCCACCATATACTTGACCTATGTTGTATCACTGTCATCCATTATACAAGGTAACAGATAAGGTTGAAAACCAAACTCTTTTTGGTTTACTTTGTGTAAGCAGTAAACTGGATGCCAGTTAGATCATGACCTAACTTACCTGCTACTGCTGTCCTGTTGTACAAAGCCTTCAACACCATGCCTTTCGGTTCCTATAGGGAAAACAAACCAAAACAGAGTATTAAAGAAATAGAGTTTCACCTGCAATTAATTACTTCTCTTACATTTCATTTGTGAAACCTACTATTTTAAAGGAAGATTAAAAAAGAACGTATATGTAGAGAGAGATCCTTTAGTCCCCAAAGTTCCTCTGAGAGCTTCATCAAATAAGCTTTACTCTTTCATGGTTGAGGTGAGTGTGAATTTTTTTCTACTGATTTGTCTGGGATCAAGATTAAGCAATCTGCATTTATACTGCCATATCCATGATCACTGAGATAAAATGTAACATGTCTTTAACAGCTTATTTACAGGACAAGGAAATTACACTGACATAGAAACTCTGTGGACAATTCAGAATTCGCTTGTTCCATCTAAGTTCCACAACAAAGCCTAGGAAATCAAAGTGTGCAATTCAAACTACAAGGTGAACTGATGCTTCTGCTATTATTAGATTTAAAAAAATAAAAATAACTTCAGCAAAACCATTTACTTTTAAACTTCTCACCTTGTGCTGAAGAAGCAGAAGCTTCATCAGATGCTTTGATTCTGTCAAACATCTGTAAGTAAAAACCAAAATAACTGAGAACACACAATGTTTTAAAACCCACAGTAAAGCTCATTCTCAAGTTCATCCTTCAGTCCAAGCTGTTCAGAAGCACTTCACTGTTTTGGCTACAGACATGCACTGTAAAAATAAACCTCTGCTTTACTAGGTTACCCTAATATTATATTTAATAATGCACATTTGCTTTGACAGAAGGGGCTAATTGCTGTTTTAATTAATACCATACTTATGAATACAACTTAGACTGCTAGGTTATTAAGCAATAACCTTGTCAAATTCATTTAATTCATTTCCTGAGTTGCCTTTACAATAAAGATGAAAGATGTATGCTAATAAAATCTATGCATTATATATACCTAGACCAAAGAAAATAATTTTGTTTATCCAGGCTAAAAAGTAAACCTTATTGTTCAAAAGACCTGCAAACCAATATTTAATCCCACAATTTTTAATTAACATATGACTGCAGCAACATACAGTTACATGCTTTAGGGTGCCCAAACACAAAGGGCTTCCAAGCTTCACGCATTCCTTTTACCTTACTGAATTCAAGCATAAAATCAGCCTTCTAGTACAAACCTTAGAGTCATCAGCCTTCTTTATCAACCAAAGGTGACTGCAGACTAGCAAACAACAAATGTGGAGCAGGAGGCCATTTGCAGTGCAGGACGCTTATCTCTTCTCATCCCATCTGGCAACAATGAAGTTAAAGAGTCTTTTAAAACAGAGTTAATAATACATATTTTCCATGCCCTAGGGCACGTAAATTTTTCTGTACCACTTTGCAAACAAGTCAGTCGATAGAATGGATAAACCTCTATTAAAGTCTGCAGTACATCCTTCTTTTTTGTTATGGCAGCTGTTTTGACAGTCTTTCCTACACAAATGTTAATTATGCTTTCTGGAATAACTTTGCTCCTTCTTTCTCATAGTCCCTATGTATTAAATATTGTTATCGTTTTGGATGCCAGCACTCAAGACATAAAGTATATAATATAATATATACTAATATATTCTACAATAACAGAAAACAAATTCCTCTACATCAACCAAATTGAAATGAATCTACTTTGAGCATTGTTCATGAACCTGCTCAGAAAAAGAATGCTTTCTTTTGCTTATGTTACATAAGCTATGTAGATATTGCAGTAATACATTAACTGGAAATTTAAGAGTAGGGTGGATGTTCAAAGCATGTTACAAATTAATCATTATATATGTTCAATTAAGTATTATTATTAGCATTATAAACAGGAAAACAGAAAGGCCACAATAATTTACACAATCACTATTGCCAGCACCACAGTGAAAGTACTATATCCTATCGCAAAACTCAGGACTTCACAATTCGTAGATTGCTCTTGGCTTAGCATTTATGCAATTGTGCGATGACAAGCAAAGTTTCAAATCAACCACTTTTACTTTCTATGCTTTACAAACTGTTTTTACAAGAATCATCCCTTCCCTCCTCAATTCCCGTTCTCATATACGTAGAAAAGATGCTCCTATATGAAGCTACATGTCATCAGGCTTGACAGACTTGTGGTTTGTTTTTTGTTTTCTTTTAATTTGTTTTTACTGGTCATTATAAAATAGAAGAGCTGTTATAGCAGTTGTAGTCAGAAGGAATACCTTAATATCTCAACTCAAAAAACCCCAAAAGAACACTCACTCTTCAAAAAAAACGCCAACAAACCACACAACCAAACCACCAGACTCTTTTTCCTTCCCATAGTGTATCAATTCATGCAGAACTAAACAAACAAAAACAAAGCAAAAAAAAAAACAGCTGTTCTTATAAAGATTCTTATCAGGCAACTCAGAAAAGGTTTTCTATATGGAAAACTGATCTCAGTCACCCTGTTCTGTGTCTTATATGCAGTCAGGACCCAAAAGAAAATGAGGGGAGAGCCCACAAGACTATCTTTCATGAATGATGCTTTATGGCAAATAACTTGTTACACGTGCTCAAAGTCAACTTACCAATTTTTTAAGGTCTTGCTATAGATATATATACTTCAGAAGAAGCAACAAATGTGGAGTGTGACAAGAGAGCAGCAACCAGAGATGAAGCTACCCCATTGACAGGGCAGTCACACAGCATTTCCATCGTCAGCAAGGGACACCACAAACATTCATTCCACAGAACTGCATTAAAGCACTGTGATATACAAATATCTAGTTTCACCTCAGAGACAGCAAGCAACAGCAACTGCAATACATCGAAGGACAACTGCTACAACAGCTCATTACTTCCTTATTTCAAGGAATAATTCCAGTAGTGGTGCACTGCAGAGAGTTCACACACCTGCAAGTACAATTCTGTACGTTACACCCCTAGGCCAAGACACAGACTCGTGCACATCTAAACTGAGCTACAAGCATAGTAACTTTAAACAGGACAGGACTATGTCCTATAATTACAATTAATTACTCCAGTCTGGATCTCCTCATCATCTTTCTACAGTTCAAGGAGATTCAATGGACCAGATTTTCTCACTGGCAGAGTGACATATTAGGTAAGACTTGTAAAAGCCTGGCTATCACTTAATAACTGTCAGAAAAATATTAGAGAAGATATTTACCTATAAAGCTTGCAAGAGAGAAATTCCTATTCTTTTATCTCAAGTGTTTCATAAAGAACATCAGTGTACAGGACAAAAAAGCAAACAAACCAACATGAACTCAGTATGATATACAGCACAAAACCACCCAGAGATACAAACCTGAACTCAAAACAATACACAGCTTGCTTACTATCTGAAGTCAACCAACAGGCTAGGAACGTAAAGGATGTGGAGATGCCTTATTTATGTTGCCAAAATCTGAACAGCCTAACTGCAATCCTGACTTTATCAAAACAGAACCTACAGCTATAAATCCACACAGGATTTTCCAGATGTCCATGCAAAGCCCATGAAATTCTACCTTTGCTGAGATACTTTAAATTGTAAATGTTTTAAACAGTTGGATTAAAAAAGTTGTATCTGTACAAGTGATAGCTTCAACATTTTACCATTGCAAAATCCTGTAAATTGTAACAAAGATAACTAAACCTGGCTATATACATAAACGTTTGATTTGGTGAGTTTCTAACCAGGCTGCTCCCACTGCCTCTAATACCGATGTTTCTTTTTGGTTTTACTGAATCATGCTGTGCACAGCAACCAGAGAATGAAAAGCCTCATATAACCCTATTATAACAGGAGAAATCCATAAAGAGGCAACCAAAAGGCATGAAATACACACATGAATCAATAGTAAATAAATAAATTAGTGGTGCATTCTGACACTATCTGGAAGTGTCAAAGGCATCAAAGAAACTCTCCAGACAGTGTCACTCTTGCACTGCAATAGGTTACACGTAAGTAAAAAGGAGTAAAAAGGTGAATCGAAACGGCTCCTCCAAAACCACCTCACAAAAAACTCTACTGCCCCTTCACCTGAGAAAGCCTATGCTAGGTAAACAAGAGGGAAAACAAGGTTGAAAAGCTCTCCCTGAAACAAAGTTATCTGTTTTCCAGCAGCGCTAGCACAAAGAGAGGCGGGAATTCATTTCAGAAGCTGCTTCTGTTTCACGGCCACACAGCACCAGCTCCATGAGTCCTGTACCTGAGACCCCCTGAACCCCGCCGGGAGGCGCGCCCACAGCTCCCCACCCGCCCCGTCCCGTCCCACCGCGGGGCCTCCGGCAGCAGTGAGGGGCCAGGTCCCGCTGTGCCGTGAGAGCGCTGCGCAGCGGCGGGGCCGCGGGACGCCGGCAGCACCCACACGCGTTAACGCCCGCGCACCCCGCCACAGTAGTCCCTCCTGCTCGAGGCCAGCCCTCTTCCCTGCTGCTCCTGCCGCCCGCTCCCGCCCCGGCACCGCCTCACCTCCATTACCTTCCCGTGAGCCGTTCCGTGGCACACTGAGGTCAAGGGACGCCATCCTCTGCTTCCTGCTCCGGGTCGGCGCGGCGCGGGCGGGGCCGAGGGCAGCCCTGTGGGAGGAGGAGAAGGTGGAAGGAGGGGTTTATGTTTTCCCTTTGCCGGTGGGGCCCTTTGCAGCCGCTCTCTTCTCCGGTGTCGGGGTTGTACTTTCATTTTCCTTGTTCGCTCGGCTTTTGGCGAGCTCGTGTTCCGGGCCAGCCGCGGCTGTGGTGTGGGAGAAGACCCCGTACTACCGTCCCTGCGCCGCCGGTCCCGCCGGCCTGTACTGAGCGGCAGCTCTCTAATGGCTGGTTGAGGAGAGAGGGGAGCTGCCGTCCTTTCGGCCCTGAACGGCTCTTGCCGTGTAGGTGTGTGAACACCGCTTGAGCGGAGTCTGGAAAGCCTCGGTTCCCCCAGCCGCGGCGCTGGAAACTCGCTCCGAAAACCCGGGGGTTGTGTGTTTTTGTCGCGCTCAGTTCGGGGTTATTCTGTTTTGTGAGGCAGCATCTTTGATACGCTTTATATCAGCAACTTCCTCAAAAAACATCATTTCGTATGCTTGAGAGCAGGCTGTAGGGTTTATACCTTTGGTTTGTTCTTCGTTTTCTGTCATTAAAAATGGCTTGCTTTCCATGGTGTGCCTTGTTTATGGTGTGTTCTATCAGAAAGTGGAAGAGCTTAGTGTGAGGTTTTGATGGAGTTAATAGAGCTGCATTTCTTTTACTCAGAAACAGACTTAAGAATATGACCTTAGTTCAGGTTCTCTTTTGTTTTCAGCTGTAGGGTGTTTCTAATGTTTATCTAATCTCCCATGGGAAACCAGCTAGCGCGTGTTTCTCTTCTGCTGAAGCAGCAGGATTTTTAAGCAATCTCTGTAGACGCAGTCAATGCTCTTGTGCAAAGACAGGTGCAGATACAGGCTTGGGTTGTGCAGTGGTGGGGGGGATTGTGAATGCATCATATTACAGAAAGTTTGAACAGAGACTTCTGTAAGAAGACTGTGTAATTATGAAACCATAGCTTAGGAATGTCCACCCACACTGAGCAAGTAATTGAGTGCAAATCTCAAATGGCAGCACAGCAGGAGGAGGCTGTTCTTTAGGAGGAGACTACCTTACTTGCTGTTGGATTTTTTTGGTTGTGCATAGATACGAATTTTTATTGCCAAAAAGAAGCACTTACCACAGAACTAAAATTCCCTGGTGATATTTTGTTGTATGGAAAAAAAAGAGCAGGGGAGAATACAACTGTTTAGTCATATGGAACATAATGATACTGCCTTTAAGGTTAAGAGGATCCTGTATTAATTTTACACTCAGCTATGTATTGTGTTGGGATAACTGAATAACATGATGGCTTAGTTGAAGTATCGTGGCAGATACAAGGTTTTAATACAAGTATATAGAATCTTAGAATAATTAGGGTTGGAAAGGACCTTAAGATCATGCAGTTCCAACCCCCTGCCATGGGCAGGTACACCTCACCCTAAACCATGTCACCCAAGGCTCTGTCCAACCTGGCCTTGAACACCGCCAGGGATGGAGCATTCACAGCTTCCTTGGACAACCCCTTCCAGTCTGTCGTCAACCTCATAGTAAAGAGTTTCTTCCTTATGTCTAACCTAAACTTCCTCTGTTTAACTCTGAACCCATTATCCCTTGTCTTATCACTGCAGACCCTGATGAAGAGTCCAAACACATATGTGGGAGAATCAATCACTTTGTTAACATGGAAAGGATTTTTTATTTCAGTGCTGAACAAGTGAAAACCTAGTTTTAGCTGGAATCTTACGGGTAAGAGTGAAGTTCTGTAAGAAGCAATCATAAAATTTTGCAGATGCAGTATTTCTGTGGAGAAGGTTTATGTGTGTGAAAGCTCCAGCATGTGCCCAGATTATTGCATGTCAGCAGAACTGCATTGTTCAAACATGGCAAAACCGCTTTGAAACACCTTATGTTAGGCTAAAATAGTTTACTTTTATGATGGTTTATAGCAGGCTTGGTGAGTTACTATGGCTCAGCTAACCCTTCATAACTTGTTGAAACAAAGTAAGCTTGTATGTACCAGAATGGCTCATGTAAAATGGAAGTCCTTTGCAAAGAGAAGGCTATAGTCTGCCTTATAATGCCGTATAACTTGTCCTTGGAATGCTCCTGAATATTTTTGCAAGGATAGAGTGTAATACTCTGTATTTTGGACAGTCATTCAAAGATAGCAGAACTTAAGCTTATGTTGCCAAATATTTATTGGCTTTCAGCTCTTTCTGTATTTATGAACTTGAGGTTGCACCCTGATTGAAGCTCAGGTAAGGTATTGAGAGATGCCCTTGTCCCTCAGTCTCCTTTTCCCCTCTTAGGAACCTGTTCCTCACATATGTGCATGAACACTGAGCAGGGCTGGCAAACTTCCTTTCCCCTTCTGAAAATTCTCCCAGTCTGAGCATTAGGCTTTCTTCTCTTTGCTGATACCTATACTCATCTGTTCAATTTCCATAAAATGTCCTTTACACTTTTCACTGCTTTGCTTTCTGCTTTTACTTTGACTTGCTGTTTTTCCACTCCCGTTACCTAAATATATGTCAAGGTTATACCTATGAAAAACATTAAGAAAAATTGACAAAGGTGAATCACAGCTATTTTCCTAGACAGTCTCAGATTTC